GTTAAATACGAATAAGTTTAAATTTGTTACCTGATTAATTTAGTCATACTTAATTTATTTAATTTCAACAATACCTGATTAAATGATATAATTATTAGGGAATTCCACCACCAGAACCTAAATCACCTCCAAAACCTGTGCCACGAGTAACAGATGAAACATCCAGGTTTGTCAAAGTCATTTTCTAATCAATAACTTTCAGATCCTTATTATAATTCTAATGCTACCTTTTTTTATTTAATTAAAAATAGCTCTTTTTCTTACCTTTTACCTGTCGCCGTGCTCGTAGCTTATATTGCTTACAAATACGTAATGTCAGATTAATTTGGTTACAGACATTGCATGTTTTGATATCTATTCCATTTCCGTATTTCTGTCTCGAGTTTTTTCATAATATTTCTAAAATTAAGTTGCTTGATTGTTAATAGAAGGTCTACAATATGTAATAAATATTGACTTTGAATAAATCTTACTACATGTAGATAGATGATGTGAATTTGTTGAATTGTTTTTATGCTACTAACGATGTTCTTTGTTGGAAGATTTCAATCAGTTTAGTGGGGTTTAGACTCTATCAACATTGAAAGATTAGAAATTTTGGTTGGAAATAGATTGGATCGGTCCTGAGAAGACCGGTTAAGGTTGACCGATCATGTCTTTTCAGACCAAAATAAACTTTACATATAGGGTGTGAGCGATCATGATAGTGACGAATAAACTCATTGGCTATATATTTTATAGGGATGGACAGGTCCTGGAAAGACTGAATAAGGATCATCTTTTAACCGGTCCCACAGTTATTCAGTCCTCGGTCTTGAGACTAGTCCGGACTGACCCATCCCTAATATTTTACATAGCCAATGCTTATTCGTCACTACCATGATTGCTCACACCCTATACATAGCTTATCTGTTATCGAATTCGAAATAGTTTATTTCTAAGACTGAGAACCGAACCTAATATATATCTTGTAATTCTTTTTTTTAATTAACAATACTATAACTTCTATATTTATAGGGATTGTTATTTTTTTAATTTTTATTAAGAAGTTTTTGCTTATTTCTAAGAGTTGAGCATAAGGTCATGTAGCAAAGATAATTAAGCTTGTTGCAATTTTTAGTTTTAGATTTTGATTATTTCATAAGAGATTATACTAATAAAAATATTACTATTAATGATGATTTAGTTAGGTTTGTTTTTAATTTTAATATTACTTTTTATTAGAGTAATATAAATAAAGATTTAGTTTAAATTAATATTTTAAAAAAGTTCAAAAAAATATTTAGTCATAGCTATTTGCATTAACTAATAGAAAAAAAAAGAATTCAAACTATTTAAAGTTGTAATTATAAGCAGTATTAATAATATAAATATTTTATAAATAGAAAATTAAAAACTAAGGTTTAGTGATCTTAGTATAGTGATTAGGTTACTAAACCATTATACAATAGATCTAAGATTTAAATTTTACTATTGATGAATTTGAATAATTTTCTAGATCTTGTAACATATTATAATAAATTTTATTTGTTTTTAGAAGTATATCTTTATAAATTAAATTGTATTAAATTAAATAGAAAATATATATAAAAGATCTGTATAGTAGAAATCTTGAATTAATAAAGTAATATAATCTTCTTATAGGATTATATTAGTTAAAGTTTGATCTGAAAAAAAAAATTTAATTTAATAAAAATAGAAAGTTTTGAGGTTACTAAACAGAAGAGTGAGATAATTAGCTAGATACTAAAAAAAAATTAAATTAACTAATTAGTAGAAGATTATAATAGAACTTGAGATTATATAAATATTATAAAGGTTTAAGTTAGATGAATTTATAAAATAAACATAAGATTACTTTAGTAAGAATTGCTTTTAAAGTTAATTAAAGCTCTGCATATTTATAATACATTAGATAATATATATCTTGAGAATATCTAAATCATATAGAGAAAGATTTATAAGCAAGTTAACTAGTTTAAACAGTTAAATATAGTGATAAATTAATTTAATATGAGAGATATATTAATGATTAGAGTATTTAAATAAAAAATATGTAAGTTTAAAACTAGAAAATTTACAAGTATATAAGAAAAACTTTAAGAAATTTGAAGAAAATTACAAAGTTACTTTTAAATATAGAAATTAAAAATATAAAATAAAAAAGAGTATATATAGAAAGCAAAAAAAAGAAGGACTAACAAAATATGCTTTACTTAGAAAAGAGAAACTTTAGAGATTACTAAAAATTATTAATAATGTAAAAGAAAGTTGAAAGAAAATAAATAAATATATTATGAGAATAATAGAACTAGAAGTTAAAGTTATTAAAATAGCAAAAATTTAGTACAAAATCTTTAAAGAAATAATAATTGAAAAAAAAGTAAAAAGTTTAGTAATCTTAATATAGTAGTTTTATTACTAGATTATTATATAAAAGATCTAAGGTTTAAATTTTACTGTTAATAAATTTGAATAATTATTTAAAATTTTGTATTCAACTTATAGTAAATTTTATTTATTTTTAGAAGTTATAACTCTATAAATTATATTATACTAATATTAATTAAAAATTAGAAGTATGATATAATATTATATATACTGGTTAAATAAATTTGTACTAGTGACCTATTAGCATATCAATATTCTAATATGAGACTAATTTTAAACAGATATTTGGCTTGAATAAAATACCTTTTAGTAACAAATCAGATTTAAAAAAATCAATAAAGCTATTAGCATACTGATATGACTATCAGATAAATATTATGATAAACTAATATTTAACTGATAGTTATATCAGTATGCTAATAGCTCTATCAGTATGCTGATAGCTTTATTGATTTTTTCAAATTTAATTTGTTATTAAAAGGTATTTTATTCATGCCAAATATCTGTTTAAAATCAGTATTATATCAGGAATATCATTATACTAATAGGTCATGATATTATACTAGTAAAAATTTATTTGACTTGTGATAAATAAATCTTGATAGAATTTATGAGCAGAAAGGTCTAGTAATCTAGTATAGTAGTTAGATTATTAAACTGCTATATAATAGATCTAGAGTTCAAATCTCACTGTTGATAAATTTGTATAATTTTTTAGATCTTGTGATATATTATAGTAAACTCTGTTCATTT